AAGGTGGCTCAGGTAGGGCAGGGCAGCAGGCAACTTGTGGGGCAACTATGCAGAGATCCTGTGTTTGAAAGTCAGCATGTGGCCGGCGCCGCGGCTCACTAGGCTAATCCTCCGCCTTGCGGCGCCGGCACACTGGGTTCTAGTCCCGGTTGGGGTGCCAGATTCTGTCCTGGTCGCTCCTCTTCCAGGCCAGCTCTCTGCTGTGGCCAGGGAGTGCAGTGGAGGATGGCCCAAGTGCTTGGGCCCTGCACCCCATGGGAGACCAGGAAAAGCACCTGGCTCCTGGCTCCTGCCATCGGATCAGCGCGGTGTGCCGGCTGCAGCGCGCCGGCCGCGGCGGCCATTGGAGGGTGAACCAACGGCAAAGGAAGACCTTTCTCTCTGCTCTCTGTCTCTCTCTCTCACTGTCCACTCTGCCTGTCAAAAAAAAAAAAAAAAAAAAAAAAAAAGTCAGCGACAGCTGTTGGAAGCAGGATCCTCTTAGCTTGTGGTTGTCTTCATGCGTTACTGCTTATCTTCTGCCCAGGTTGCACCAAAGCGTGAATCTCAGTCTTGTATGCTGTGGGAATGGATATTCTGAGCCCTTACCCGAAACAGATGCATCAGTGCCTCATCTATGCCAATGGGACGTTTCGTGCTTGTACATTTCTTTGCTTTGCACAAATTGAGTTTGAAATGCTATTTTCCTTTTCCCTTTGCAATTCCTAGGACAGTAGAACATGTTTTAAAAAGCAGTGCAGGCCAGCGCCATGATTCATTAGGCTAATCCTCCACCTGGCGGCGCCGGCACACCGGGTTCTAGTCCAAGTCGGGGCGCCGGATTCTGTCCCGGTTGCCCCTCTTCCAGGCCAGCACTCTGCTATGGCCAGGGAGTGCAGTGGAGGATGGCCCAAGTGCTTGGGCCCTGCGCCCCATGGGAGACCAGGAAAAGCACCTCGTTCCTGGCTTCGGATCGGCGCAGCACCAGCTGTCTAACTCTGAAAAAACAAAAGTTTTAGGAAAGGCGGATCACCAATCACATTAACTTCATACAGAACTGCTATTTGCAGTTTTAAGGTGTGTGTGCGCGTGTATGTTCACCAGAAGATGAGCCCATGGAGGACCACTGCCCATGGTGGAAACGAGAGAAAGCCTGTCGTCACCAGCACATATCAGGGAGCTCATCAAAAAGTTCATGGGAAATGTATGTAATGAAAAACCACATGGGTTGAAAAATTTTTGTACCTGTCTTTTGTATGTGTGTGTGTGGTTTTTTTTATTTTATTTTTTATTTTATTTATTTATTTATTTTTTTTTTTTTGACAGGCAGAGTGGACAGTGAGAGAGAGAGACAGAGAGAAAGGTCTTCCTTTGCCGTTGGTTCATCCTCCAATGGCCGCCGTGGTCAGCGCACTGCAGCAGCACACTGCGCTGATCCGAAACCAGGAGCCAGGTGCTTCTCCTGGTCTCCCATGGGGTGCAGGGCCCAAGCACTTGGGCCATCCTCCACTGCACTCCCTGGCCACAGCAGAGAGCTGGCCTGGAAGAGGGGCAACCGGGACAGAATCCGGCGCCCCGACTGGGACTAGAACCCGGTGTGCCGGCACCGCAAGGTGGAGGATTAGCCTAGTGAGCTGCGGCGCTGGCCTATACCGGTCTTTTAATTCTATCTTCACGTGAACTTTCTGAAGAGCCTTTGCTTCTCTTCATCATAAATCCATAGTTGAATGCAGCTAGAAGGGATATGACTTAGACTTTTTACAATTAACATTTTAACTTGCTCACTCTTTGGTTATATAATATTACCTCTCCCTAAGAATGCCTTGAGAAAGTCAGGTTAATACAAACTCAGCTACACTAAAAGGCAGCGTGTTGCTAGCAACATAACCTAGCCCTAGGTACTAAATCTCTATGGGCCTCGGTTACTTTGGGTTTCACCAAAAAGTAGATGACTTCATTTTTTTTCCTCTTTTTTAAGATTTTATTTATTTATTTGAGAGGTAGAGTTACAGACAGAAACAGGTAGAGACAGAGAGAAAGGTCTTCCATCTTCTGGTTCACTCCCCAAATGGCTGCAACAGCAGGGAATAGGCCAGGCCAAAGCCAGGAGCTTCTTCTGGGTCTCCCTCATATATGGCAGGGGCCCAAGCACTTGGGCCATCTTCTACTGCTTTTCCCAGGCCATTAGCAGGGAGCTGGATTAGAAGTGGAGCAGCTGAGATGCAAACCAGACCCATATAGGATGCTGGCATCATAGACGGCAGCTTTACCCGATATGCCACAATGCCGGCCCCTGCAAGATCCACATTTTAAGATATACTGAAGTAGGGGCCGGCGCAGTGGTGTAGTGGGTAAAGCCTCTGCCTGCAGTGCCAGCATCCCATATGGACACTGGTTTGAGTCCCAGCTGCTTTCCCAGTCACATTAGCAGGGAGTTGGATAGGAAGTGGGGCAACCAGGACTCGAACTGGCGCCCATATAGGATCCTGGCACTGCAGGCCGGGCTTTAACCCACTGCACCACAGCACCAGCCCGAATAAGTAAGTCTTTAAACAACAAAAAAAGGAAGTAAACTGTCATAATATTTAAGTCTTCTTTAAAAGTTTTTTTTTCAAGAAGCTCAAAATGATGTTTAGCACATGGCCAAATGTTAACATTTATTCGTTTTTTGAAGGTACAATTTCAGGAACTAAGGTATCAATTATACTAGATTATTGTTTTAGTTTCCTCATAATATTTGGACAAGCTTGTATAAAGTACTTCCACATATTGCAATCATCTCACTTAACTCTCATAATCTTTTTATTACTTTGGATTTTTTTTAAGCAGAAAATAAAGCTGAAGCTTAATGAAGTAAAATAATATGACCATGGCCAATCAGTAAGTAGCAGGGCAAAACTCAGTCGCCCCAAATTCTGTTATCTTTTTCTTTGCTTGATGCAAAAAATTTCTGTATACTGAATTTGATTCTCATGTTTAATCTATTTCTCTTAAAATCTTTATCCACTATTAAGATGAAAAGACGTAAATTCAGAGAGGCTAAGTAACTGGCCCAAAGTCAGTTAGCAGGTGAAGGTGGAACGTATTTGTAAGTCAAATGGTGCCAATATCTGTTTGTACTGCCAATTAACTTTAAAGAATGAAACATGGAAATATTAATACATCAGTTTGCTTTATTATAATTTACATTTTAGTGAGCCTATACTATAGATCCTTAGTTTAAGGTTACGCTACATCTAATACTTAAGACAAAATAATTTTAAGATCTTAGAGTTTCTACTGCCTTCTGCTTTAGGTAGTAAACCAGCTCAACAAACAATAGGATACAGTTCCAACTGACAAGGCATGTTGCCTGGGTGCTTTTACAACAGATAAAAGTGGGCATGTGTGTTTGGTGCAACATTTAAGATGCCAGCATCCCACATCAGAGTACCTGGGTTCAAGCTCTAGCCCCACTTCTAATCCAGCCTCCTGCTAATGGCACCATGGGAAAGTACTTGGGTCCCTGACACCAACATGGTATACCAGCATTGAGTACTGAGATCCTGGCTTCAGCCTGGCAGAGCCCAGGCTGTTGTATTTGGGGAGTGAACTAGCTAATGTCCATCTCTGTCCATCTGTCTGTCCATCAGGTAAAGAAAAAGGTTGTCAGCTGCTTAGGAATTATCAGTAGTATGAAAGATAACTAATTAGTTAACTAAGTAAAAGTCCACTTGTATTTAGTACTTTATAACAGCAATTAGCCAGATTAAGCCCTCTTATATTGAGCTCTATAAATGTTGCCATAAAATATGAAATGAAATTTTAGGGAAAAGCCTAAGTTAATACAAAATTATATGAGTGGGCCAAATAAAAACAAATTTATTGTAGGAATACTAAAATAGTGACCTAATTATGCTTTGTTAACAAATACTCCTTTTAACCAGTATTTACCATCAGATTTTCAAAAGTTAATTTCTGGGAACAGTACGTTTCAGATGGCTTTTGTTTTCTTTCCCATTCACTGAAGCCTGTTTATTACAGAGTGGAATTTGGGATAAGATGGGTTGTTTTGGACCTAGGCCAAGAGGGTTTAGTTACTGAAAGCACCTCATTATAGAGTGGTCGTAGCAATAAGGTGATCCACTGGCTCAGATCCCATGGATATCATAACAAGGCTTCATTGTGGACCACAGGAAGCCAAGCAGCTAATGGTTCTATCAAACGAAACCTTAAGAAGCAAAATTCCAAATCTCCTCCCCACCCCCTTTTTTTTGAGACATGAAAATCATTTAGGGCTAGTGGATTATAAGCCTTTGGTCATGATCCTAAATTTCCATTTCCTCAAGTGATGTTCTTTATGTTTCAGACTGTACAGAAATTTCACAGTAAGGTTTTAGCTTCCTTAGCTATTCATTGTCTGATACAGTCTGACCTTTTTTTATTATGAAAAATTTCATTATTGCGATGTCTACAAAAGGTTGACTATATTAACCTATGGAAATAGACAAGAAACTGCCAAAAATTCCTAAGGTTGAATTCTTGCTTAGTTCATTGAAAAATCTGGGGCTGGCATTGTGGCACAGCAGGTTAGGTGGCCGCCTCAAATGCCGGCATCCCACGTGAGTACCAGTCAAGCCCCAGATGCTGCACTTCTGACCCAGCTCCCTGCCAATGCGCCTGGGAAAGCAGCAACAGATGGGCCCCTGCCACCATGTAGGAGACGTGGATGGAGCACCCGGGCTTCAACCTGGCTTGGCCCCAGCTGTGGCAGGCATTTGGGGGAGTGAACCAATGGTTGGAAGCTCTTTCCCTCTCTGTAACTCTACCTTTCAAAGAAGTAAGCAAATCTTAAAAAAAAAAATCTTGTTTAGTTCATTGAAAAAACTGAACATTAAAAAGGGCATATGCAAGAATTTTATGGTAATCGAATAAAAAAATGCCATCACTGAGAGATTACCACAGTAACCAGTTTTTGAACTGATTTTACAACAGGCAATTTGATTTCATAAATAAGTTTTATAAGCAATTAAATAATTAAATATTTTGAATGTGCTTTATTACAGGAAAATAAAATGACAAAACCTATTGCAGAAAAATGTGAGGAACTCTTTTAAAAAGTAATGTTTTGAATAGGAAGATCATAAGAATAAAAACAAAGCCTATGTGACCTTAGGAAGTGCCAGATTTAAAGCCATGCAATAATTACATACATAGTAGTAGCATATTAATAATTCTAATTTATAACACAACTTTATTGTTTTAAATAGTTCCTCTAAAACTGAACTGTTGAGTCATATAACATGCACTTTTTTTAAAAAAAAGATTTATTTATTTATTCGAAAGTCAGAGTTACACAGAGAGAGGAGAGGCAGAGAGAAAGAGGTCTTCCATCTGATGGGGTCTTCCTCCCCAATTGGCCGCAATGGCCGGAGCTGCGCCGATCCGAAGCCAGGAGCCTCTTCCAGCCTCCCACACAGGTGCAGGGGCCCAAAGACTTGGGCCATCCTCCACTGCCCTCCCAGGCCATAGCAGAGAGCTGGATTGGAAGTGGAGCAGCCGGGACTCGAACTGGCGCTTCAGGCCAGGGCATTAACCCGCTGTGCCACAGTGCCTGCCCCTAACATGCACTCTTCATTGTACCCTTCCTCCATGAATAGAGCTTTTTCTACAATTGGGAGTTTTTGTCACTCATGGATTACAAGCCTGATTTTCAGTCCTTGCATAAATTCAGTATTACACAATTATTTTATATGCATTGAATATATAAGACAAATTATCTGATAATATTTATATATATATATATCAAAAACCTTTAAAAAACAAATCAGTATGTTTCCTTTTCTAATTCTTTCAGTTCATCTATCACTATAGAAGGCTTTATAAAGCAGGAATGCATTCTAGATGTGTGACTGATAGAAGTTTTACCATGTGCCAGATACTCTTTTAAATGCTTTTATGTATTTTAACTTACTTAACTATATAAACTTCTTAGAGTCTTTTTATGTATATTTATTTTCATTGTATTTGAGAGAGAGAGAGACATTCTAATTTCCACCAGCTATTTCACCCCCGAATACCTGCAATAGCTGGGGCTGCATTAGGCTGAAGCCAGGAGTCTGGAACTCAATCTACTCTCCTCTGTGGGTGATAGAGACTCAGGTACTTGAGCCATCCCCTGCCGCCTCCCAGAGTGCGCATTAGCAGGAAGATGGAATTGGGAGTGGATCCAGGACTCAAACCCAGGTACTCTGATATGGGAAGTGGATGTCCCAAGTGGTGTCTTGACTGTTAGGCCAAATATACACCCCTAAACATGTCAGTAATAAAAATGGTCTCCTACTCTACGTTTTACTTACTGGAATATTGTCTTGATTAAAGTCATGGTTTGAAGAGAACATGTATCTGTTTTAACAGTGATACCATTTTGTAAATATTGGGACCAGCGCTGTGGCATAGCAGGTGAAGCTGCTGCTTATGACAGATTTGAGTTCTGGCTGCTTTGTTTCCAATCCAGCTCTCTGCTAACATGGCTGGGAAGCAATGGATGATGACCCAAGTACTTGGGCCCCTGCATGCACATGAAAGACCAAGATGGAGTTCTGGGTTCCTGACTTCTGCCCGGGCCAGCCCTGGCCATGTGTCCACTTGGGAAGTGAAACAGTGGCTATAAGATCTTTCTGTCTCTCCCTCTCTGACACTATGCCTTTACAATGAATACATCTGGGGCCTGCGCTGTGGTGCAGTGGGTTAAAGCCCAGCCTGCAGCACCAGCAGCCCATATGGGCGCCAGTTTAAGTCCTGTCTGCTTCTCTTCCGATCCAGCTCTCTGCTATGGCCTGGGAAAGCAGTGGAAGATGGCCCAAGTGCTTGGGCCCCTGCACCCACGTGGGAGACCTGGAAGAAGCTCCTGGCTCCTGGCTTCAGATCAGTTCAGCTCTGCCCATTGCAGTCATTTGGGGAGTGAACCAGTGGATGGAAGACCTCTCTCTCTGGCTTTACCTCTCTCTCTGTAACTCTGTCTTTGAAAGGAATAAAATAAATCTTTAAAAAAATACATCTATTTAAACTTGGAAATATTTGAAACATAGAGAGTCAGAGAGAGAGAGAGAGAGAGAGAGAGAGAGAGATCTCCCATTTGCTGGTTACTTCTTCCCAAATGTCTGCAACAGCCACAGTGGGCCAAGTTGAAGCCAGGAGATAGAAACTGGGTCTCCTACATGAGTGGCAGGGACTCAACTACTTAGGACATCATTTGCTGTCTCCCAGGGTGTGCATTAGCAGGAAGCTGGAGTCAGGATTCAAACCTCAGACATTCCAAAATGGGATATGGGCATCCCAAACATCATCCTAACCACTATGTCAAATGCCCACCCTGCTGTACAAAATTTTTGAAACGTCTTCTGGAATTTAAGCTTGTGGCACAACTCTGTTTACATTCTCAGCATAGAAATTTTAGCCTGAGAGAGAATCAGATTTTTGGAAAGATTGTATCTAGGGAAAGAGGAAGATAATCGATATCAAGTTGGGTAATAACATTAAATATGACTCAAAGTATATGCTTGATTTTTATGTTTACCAATTCTTCAAAAGGCAATTTCAAATGCCTGCAAAATATTAGTAGCATTGTTAAATTAAGTAGATAGCTCTCCAAGTTATTGCGCATATGTCCATAGCATAGATTAGTAACAGTTATTTCACCTTTTCTATAAAATGGTAGGTTTTATTTTAAGCATTCTGGAACAAAAGCAAGTGACTCAGTAAATATCAATAGATACTTTTTTTTTTTGAAAAGAATCTACTTATTTATTTGAGAGGTAGTTATAGACAATGAAAAGGAGAGACAGAGAAAGGTCTTCCATCCGCTGGTTCACTCCCCAGATGGTCGCAACAGCCACAGCTGAGCCAATCCAAAGCCAGGAGCCAGGAGCTTCTTCCAGGTCTCCCACGTGGGTGCAGGGGTCCAAGCACGTGGGCCATCGTGTACTACTATCCCAGGCCATAGCAGAGAGCTGGATTGGAAGAGGAGCAGCCAGGACTCAAACCGGCGGCCATCTGGGATGCTGGCACTGCAGATGGCAGCTTTACCCATTATGTCACAGAGATGGTCCCCTAGATACTCCTTTAAATTAAGGATTTTTAAAGCTGAAAGGAATTTTTATGACTTCATGAAACTACATTCCGCATTTCACAGATGAAAGTGATTCTTTGAAAGGCAAATGACTAGTGAATTAGTGGCAGAACTAGAATAGAAATCGTCTCTTGTCCACTACCCTAATCTAATTTAACAGCAATACCAGAGGGGAGAAATGGTTTCATACTCTTTAAAAATGAGGTTAAAATTACTTTCTAATCTAGTGTTTGGTACCTATTATCCACTGATCAACCAAGATAAATATATAATACTAGGTGGAATCTAGTGTATCCCAATCTATAAATTCTTTACTTGGCCAGTTGTCATCTTACATTCTTCAAATTACAGATGTAATATCCAATGCTATAGAAAAAAAGCCAAATTATACCTAAATACCATCAACATGAAAGCAAACATATGCATTTAAAATAATTTATCCAAATGAATGCAAAAAATGTCTGATTATTGGGAATTTTGACTTGATAATAGAATATACATACAACTTGAACTCATAAAATGTCAGTTGAAGTCACTCACAAGAAGTCTGCTCGCTGAAAACAGATGTTTCTTAGAAAAAAAAGATCAGGGAGTGTATTTTTGGAATGATGTCAGAGATGTCATCTTTTATCAGAGCATCTGATTAGATGGTTCTGTTTACAAAAATGTAAACACAGAATCCACAGTGAGGAATCCACACTGTGCTCTAAAGGACCATCTTTCTGCTAGGAAGTTATATATGAAGATTCTTTAAGAAGTTCATGGGAAACTATGCATGGACTTAACACATTTTTTGCACCAAAATAAAGATATTTAAATTCCATTTTCCATGACTTTTTTAAAGTACTCTTGTATATAAAATTTATATATGAAGCTTCCATGTTAGTAGTTGCATAGTTAAAACTTTATGCCAGGATGTGCCACTTTTTCCTACAATCATGATGAAGCTAAATAATTACAACTGAAAATGTGGAATACTTCATTTGGCACTTTATAACATTACATAAATTTATGATTTTAGGTTTATCAAACAAAAATACATCTACTTTTAACAAAAGAACATTGATTTCTAAAAAAAAGTCTCGGAATAATTTGAGGTAAATCTGTAGTGAGGGGCCGGCGCTGTGGTTCAGTGGGTTAATGCCCTGGCCTGAAGTGCCAGCATCTCATATGGGTGCCGGTTTGAGACACGGCTGCTCCACTTCTGATCCACCTCTCTGCTATGGTCTGGGAAAGCAGAAGATGGCCCAAGTCCTTGGGCCCCTGCACCCACGTGGGTGACCCGGAAGAAGTTCCTGGCTCCTGGCTTCAGATCAGCACAGCTCCGACCGTTGCGGCCAATTGGGGAGTGAACCATCGGATGGAAGACCTCTCTCTCTCTGCCGCTCCTCTCTCTGTGTAACTGTGACTTTCAAATAAATATTAAAAAAAAAAAAAATCTGTAGTGAAACATGGCTGAGCTGTGACTAGATCACACTGCTACTAGTCCCTCTGCGTCAGTATGAAAACAAATGCAGTAGACTACAAAATATGAATATGTGATATTAAAAGTGCCTTAGGAAATTAGATATCTTTCAGACTAATTTTAATTTATATTTAGCTAAGAAGATTTATTGGAGGTAAATACTTTGTATGAATCACTATCAAAATTTGTGAATATTAAAATTGTATTTCTGAACATAAAATAGACTTAAACATCTCAGTGAATTAAAATTATAGCTACAAAAATTTAAAGTATATCACTTACTCAATACATAAATTATTGATTACAACAGAGTTTAACACAAGCATGATAACCTATTTCTGCAGTTTGACAGTTAAGTATAATTACTTAACACCAGGGCTCACACCTTTATTTTTGGAAACAGATTGTTGAAAGTTGTTTAGATCTATTTCATGAGTATTTCTCAGTTTCAATTCATTTACGCAAGATGTTTTTACATTACCATCAATGTCATCAATTTTACCACCTTCAATATTCAACTCTGTGTCTGGGTGATCCTGTTTTCTTATCAATGACTGAATCCATTCCTTTTGTAGTTTTAATTTCTAAAAGGTCTGTAGCCAAAATGCAATTTGAATTATTAGCCAATCTGCTGCCCTTATCAGTGTGAATAGGCTCATTGTCTTCTTCATCTGTTTCTACAGGATCATAAAGTTCAGGTGTAAAATAGATGGATTCATCTTCTACTTCTGTCTCAGAAGCGCTACCTGAAGTTGAATGGGCAGCATCTTCATTTACTGGGGGTAATTCAGTGTCCAGACCCAGGGCCTCTTCATAACTGAGTGGTTGTCTGGAATGATGCTCAATCTTTACTGAAGAAACAATGGTTTCTGACTGAGGACATGATCCAAATGACGTTTTTACTGTAGGAGTTGAGGACTCAGGTTTATCAGAGAGTGGCAAAAGAGTTTTATTTTCCGTGTTTTCTGTTTTGAAAGTACAAGGACTAGAGGTGCAGTTCTTTGGTGACCTGAGCTCAGGTGTTGTGGTCTGTATTTTACCAGTAACGAACTGTCCCAAAGAATGAAAGTTAGACCAGCTGACTCTGTTGGTTTGCTTGCCGAACGTTGGGCTTGTAGATCGGGAAATGATCCTTTTCTCTTTCCTTGTCTGTACAGACTCTTCCAATAACACTGGGTCATCTAAGAATACAAAAATATAGTAACTTTTAAGTTTCTGCTCCTAGCCAAGATAATCATAGTAGGTTAAAATTATTATTTATTATAAATGCTTAAATAGCTGTATTGGGTACATAATTCAGATCCCACAACCAATAGTGATGGAATTTCAGCTCAGAATAAAATGTTAACCCTGAAGGGAATCTTGGGTTTCTGGTATTTCCTAGCCCAAGTTAACGCTTTCTGGTAAGCCACCAAATTCCACAGCATGGACCTCCCGACTGAATGGTGGAAGGAGGGTTAAAAAAGAGAAGAAGAAAACTGATTAAAGGTGTGAATAGGCTGTAAAAAATTTGCCCTAAAAATCCGTCAAAGATTAAGGAGCCACAGCGCCAACCCCGACTATGACGATTATTTAAAAGCATATATTGGGGCCGGCACTGTGGCACAGCGGGTTAACGCCCTGGCCTGAAGCACTGGCATCCCATATAGGCTCTGGTTCAAGACCTAGCTGCTCCACTTCTGATCTGGCTCTCTGCTATGGCCTGGGAAAGCAGTAGAAGATGGCCCAAGTGCTTGGACCCCTGCACCCACATGGGAGATCTAGAGGAGTCTCCTGGCTTCGGATTGGTGCAGCTCTGGCGGTTGCGGCCTACTGGGGAGTGAACGATTGGATGAAGGACCTTTCTCTCTCAGGCTCTCCTCTCTCTGTGTAACTCTTTCAAATAAATAAATAAATTCTAAAAAAGCATATACTATAAAAATACATGTTTAAACACTGATATGAAGGTACAGTGATTTATAATTTTAATTGTTTAATTCATACCAGAGTTCAGAAAGCTTTTTCTGTTACAGGTCAGATAGTAAATATTTTAGGCTTGCTGCTAATGTTGTCTTTGTTGCAACTACACAGTTGTTAGTGTGATGCATAAGTCTTTGCAATATGTAAATGAACCAGCAGGATTGTGTTCCATTAAACTTTACTTAACAAAAACGGACTGAATTTGGTTCATGGGCTACAATGTGCCAATCTCTAACAGATTTTTTTTCTAATAATTTTAAAATATTTTTTAAAAAAATTTTTGACAGGCAGAGTGGACAGTGAGAGAGAGAGACAGAGAGAAAGGTCTTCCTTTGCCGTTGGTTCACCCTCCAATGGCCGCCGCGGTCAGCGCGCTGCGGCCGGCGCACCGCGCTGATCCGATGGCAGGAGCCAGGTACTTATCCTGGTCTCCCATGGGGTGCAGGGCCCAAGTACTTGGGCCATCCTCCACTGCCTTCCCGGGCCACAGCAGAGAGCTGGCCTGGAAGAGGGGCAACCGGGAGAGAATCCGGCGCCCCGACCGGGACTAGAACCCGGTGTGCCGGCGCCGCAAGGTGGAGGATTAGCTTAGTGAGCCAGGGCGCCAGCCAATTTTAAAATATTTTTATCATTTAGAATGACTTTCACCTCCTGAGAAACAAAGTTCATCTAAGAAGTATCCACAGACTGGACCAATACCTGTACAGCCTTCTGAATAACATCTACTACTGGCAAAGTACTTTAGAATTCCATGATATTTAGTCTCTCACTTGACCCTTACAACGCTTTCTGTAGAGACAGCTAGGCAGGTTTTTTTTCCATTTTTTTTCCAATTATAACTCAAAAAGCTAAGTGACTTGCTCATGATCACAAAGCTAGTTCATGGAAATAGAACACTTTGGTTTCCTGTCAAAAGTTTGTCCCCATTCTAATATATACCATACTTTTTGTTATCTTATGATAACTTTATTTTTCCTTTAATATGTTGGTTTATAATATAATCTGTACCAAAATAAAATCATTTCACTGAATATAATGAAAGAATTCTTTAGCAAATGTAAATTGGCAAAACTGTTCATACTTCCACGCTTTCTGGAGATGATGCCACTTGGTAGAGATGGGTTTTCAGTAACTTTTTTAGGGCACTGTAGTTCCTGGATACACATTTCTGTGTCATCTTCCTTAGGATTTTCTGGTGATAGATGACTTGCCAGATCCAGTAAGTAAGCTGGCGCACTGTCCTTTAAACAGGCCACTTCAAGAGTAGACTCTTGGTCCTTCACATACTTTCTGGTTACATCAATTTCTTTTTGGTGTTTTTTGGAAAATTCAGCCAAGGACTCTAGTGCACTTTCAAAGGTTGAATGGTGTTGAATCTGCTGCCTTACCCACTTAGGAAGTCCTAAAGGGGAGGGGAGGTGAAGAATATAAACAAACACAGAATATAACAAAATAAAAGATTGGTACTTAATTAAGGTATTACATATATGGAATCTTCAAAAGTTCATGGAAAATGAATATTGTAGAAAAATTATAGATGGATTTCAAATATTTTTTCACCAGAATAAACTTTTAATTCAATTTCCCATAAACTTTTTGAAGTATTTTAGTAAGAGAAAACCTAATTTTTAATGAAGTAACCTAATTTGCATTTTGAATACACATAATGGTTTTTGGCATTTTATTTTACATCTGATGTACAACATGCTCCATGACTTATGTTGGAATTATGTCCTGAGAAACCCACCGTACATTGAAAATGCTGTTAAGTCGACTATGCATTTACTAAATGCAAGCTACCTAACATCACAGCTTAGCAAAGCAATACATGGGTGCTTGACTTTTGTGATTGCAGGGCTGACTGGGGGGCCACAGCTCACAGTGTCATGAGAGTGCTGCATTTCATAGTGTCAGTCTGGGAAAAGATAAAAACCGAAGTATGGTTTCTGCTGAATATATATCCTCTCATTGGTTGAATTATCAAAAATCATGGACCATTTGTGTTCCCTAGTTGAGAATAACAGGAATCTAGCAAATTTAATTTTATCATAATGCCTCAGAAAACTTGCCTACCTTTTTAAACAATGCAACCTTCCATTTCCAATATTCCAAATTTGACCCCTTTTGTAAAAACTAAACACAAGATTCCAGCCTCAGCAGATTTTCTGTTCTACTATACCAATTTCAAATGCATCTGAAACTATTATAGAGGTGAAAGAAATAATAAAACATGTCCTATCTGAATTTTGATTATAAAAAAATCTAAATAAGGGATATGATTTGACTTGTGACATGAAAACTGCAAAAAAGGAACCGTACTAGGAGTATAAGGTTTTTTATAGTATGATTCACTTCATGATGAAATTAAAATCAGATATATGGACTTTCACAAAATAAAAATTCCCTGTTCATGTTGCCACACTTAGCTTCATATTTTGTAGCTATTATTTTTTAAAAGTCACTCTGGTATTACAAGGTGAGGATTTCATGCAATTTGAATTATCATACTTTCAAATGTATTCCATTAGTTTTTTTTGTTTGTTTGTTTGTTTTGACAGGCAGAGTTAGACAGTGAGAGAGAGAGAGAGACAGAGAGAAAGGTCTTCCTTTGCCGTTGGTTCACCCTCCAATGGCCGCTGCGGCTGGCGCACCACACTGATCCGATGGCAGGAGCCAGGTGCTTCTCCTGGTCTCCCATGGGGTGCAGGGCCCAAGCACTTGGGCCATCCTCCACTGCACTCCCTGGCCACAGCAGAGAGCTGGCCTGGAAGAGGGGCAACCGGGACAGAATCCGGCGCCCCAACCAGGACTAGAACCTGGTGTGCCGGTGCCGCAAGGTGGAGAATTAGCCTATTGAGCTGTGGTGCTGGCCCCATTAGTTTTTTAATGACTATCTTCTATTAATTATTTATGTAAGCTGAATTCAAATAAAAATCAGTCATCAAAAAAATTTGTGTTGCTGTGCTAATGTTACCAAGAAAACATTTTATACTTCATGAATGTCAGAAAAAGTACAGAAAAGACCGAAAATAATGGAAAATATTTAAACTATGTGATAAAAATTTAAGTTCTAGATATTAAAATTTAAAAATAAATAAGCATTTTCCTTAAATTTTTATATGTTTGCTTGGGGGAAATGGTTATACCAGATATAAATGTGTAATTCTATAAAACTTAAAAATGTTAGTATTAAACTTTTGATTTTGATCTTTTACCATACAATGTCCTCGTTTGCTTTTCAAAACTTGAAAGAATCTGAGCTCCACCTACTGACTAAACACCGGCACTTAGCATTTTTGCCTTTAGTTTCTGCTTGACCTAGGAGACTGCTTGCTTTACACAAAAAAGGAAGGAAAAAAATCAACAAAGCAATATTTTCTGCATTTATCCAGATGGTTGTTTTACTATCAAGCCTAATAGAGTAATCTAAACTTAAGAATATCTTTATTATAGTCTGACAAACTTTTTTATTGTAAAGGTAATAATAAAGATGCACATATACCCCACAGCTCTAGTTAGCTTCTTGGTATTGACTCTGAAAGACCTGTTACTGTTGGATGAAAATCACAGGGACATGTATTGATTTGAGTTGGAAAAAAAAAATGACTATCTACTTGATCTTGCTGCACACAGTGGTGCTTTATTTCCTTTCAGAAAGTACTACTTTTAATGAACATAAATTTAAAATAACTGAAGAAACAAATAAGTACAACAAACTTCATGATAGCCCAGAACAAAAGAATAAAGAATTCTAAGCAGCGGAATTGCTTAAATGTAAAAATTGAGTATTTCTTGGGAAATTCATTGCCGTAGAAGTGCTTTTCTCCTGACAGTGGTAAACGAAGTATTATTGTGTTACAGAACTGTATCTCACATTCTATGAAATTGAAGAATCCTAGCATTCTACACTATGTTGGTAATTAAATAAATTGTTACTTATAAAGAACTTTTGTAAATATTTGAGAATTAAAAGGCTAGATTTCCAGTCAACAGAAATTATTTATGTTTGGTCTAGTAATTCCAATTTTCTAATTCTTCTTCTTCTTCTTTTTTTAAACAGACACCACTGGCTGCTCCAAGATGGCAGAATAGGGAGGGAGCTTACTGATCTAGTGATCACCTTACAAAGGCGTACAAGCCGGTACAGCAGGTGCCATTTTGGATATATATAACAGCTGTGCCAGCTCATGTCTGCATCTGGCAATCAGCTGAGTGGAGACTCCTGACTCTCGTGGGGAGAAATATCAGGGGGTGCTTGTGACTGTGTGAAGCTTCTGAACTAGGACTGTGAAAAAATACTGAGGGTTTATGGGAGAACTCACAGTGTGGCTGAGACTCTGAGCAGACTTGGTGGGAGATGCCACAAGCTCAGGCGGTCCTGGTTACCCGGTGAGAGACATTGCTGCGGAATCTGAACTTACACTGATGACTGCACAGATCCTCTGTGTAGTCCTTGGGACAGAGCGGACAAATATACCCACTGGAGTAGTGCTCAGGCACTGGTCTACATCCAGGAGAAGAGCTCAGTTGAACAGAATTACATCCCTTCTGATTAAAAAAAGAGAGGATTTACCACGCCAAACCTGGGTGTGTCACCTTAGGCATCCTCTTAACCCTGGAGAACTAAACAGAGCTCTCTGGCCACACCAACTACAAGCCTCTAGAGATTCACTGAAAGCAGACAGTCCACTTATCTATAGAGTCAATGTACAACGATACAGGCCGCCACAGCAGAAAAAAAAAAAAGAAGAAGAAGAAACCAATGAGCATCTCCACAAATGCAACAATCCAAGAAACAAGAATAAGGAATCTATCCATTTCTGCTAGTTTGTTGGCATGCAACTCTTTGTGTAATTTCTGATAACTCTTTTTATTTCTGTGGTGTCTGTTGTTACATTCCCTCTTACATCTCTAATTGTATTGATTTGGGTCTTCTCTCTACTTTTTTTTTTGGTTGGGCCAATGGTGTGTCAATTTTGTTTATTTTTTTTTTTTTTTCAAAAAAAAAAAAAAAAAACCAGCTCTTCGTTTTGCTGATCTTTTATAATGTTTTTTTTGGGATTCACTTTTGTTGATTTCTCCTCTAATTTTAATTATTTCTCTTCTCCTACTAGTTTTGGGTTTGGTTTACTATAGCAGAAATGGATAGATTCCTTGGGGGCTGGTGCTGTGGCTCACTTGGTTAATCCTCGCCTGCAGGGCCGGCATCCCATATGGGTGCCAGGTTCTAGTTGCGGTTGTTCTTCTTCCAGTCAGCTCTCTGCTATGGCCCGGGAAGGCAGTGGAGGATGGCCCAGGTGCTTGGGCTCTTGCACGCACATGGGAGACCAGGAAGAGACACCTGGCTCCTGGCTTCAGATGGGTGTAGTTCCTAATTCCGGCCATAGTGGCCATTTTGGGGGGTGAACCAATGGAAGGAAGACCTTTCTCTCTTACACTGTCTAACTCTATCTGTCAAAAAAAAAAAAAAAAAAAAAGATGGATTCCTGGATGCATACAACCTACCTAAATTGAACCATGAAGACATAGAAAACCTAAACAAATAAAAGAGAAATCTGCACCTCAATGTTTATTGCAGCTCAATTCACGATAGCTAAGACATGAAATCAACCTAAATGCCCATCAACAGAAGACTGGATAAAGAAATTATGGGATATGTATCTATGGAATTCTGCACAGCAGTAGAAAAAAATAATGAAATCTTGTCATTTGCAACAAAATGGAGGAATCTGGAAAACATCATGCTGAGTGAAATAAGCCAGTCCCAAAGGGTCAAATATTATATATTTTCCCTGATCTGTGACAACTGAGCACCTAAAAGGAAACCTGTAGAAGTGAAACTGACACTATGAGAAGCAATGACTTTATCAGCCCTTCTTTTCTACTTAATACCATTGGTTAAACTCTTTAATTAACACAGAATTATTCTTTCATGTTTAAATCCAACTGAAAATTGATCCACATTAAAAATAAGAGTGGGAATAAGAGAGGGAGGAGATACACAGTTCAGCACATGCTAACTGATCATAAAGATAGGATTACGTGTTAGAGGAATCACATAAGAACAGTGTCTGCTAATATTTGATAGAATTAAAAAGGGGAGAATGGTCCAACATGGGAAGTGGGATAGACAACAGATTCATAGAATGACAAATGCTCTAAACAGCACTTTGGCCTCAAAATAGTCCTTAAGGCATTCGGATCTGGCTACAAAGCCCATGAGAGTATCTCAGGCATGGAAAGCCAAGACACTGTGGCAAAAATTGACCTAAATGAAAGATCTCTGTCAGTGAGAGTCCAGTGGAAAGAAGGGGCCATCAAAGAAGGAGGTACTTTTCTCTGAAGGGAGGAGAGAACTTCCACTTTGATTATGGCCTTGTCTAAATAAGGTTGGAGTATGTG